AGCTCATAGAAAGGTATAAATCATTCATTCACCAAGGTGAATTTTATCCAGTGTGAAAGATATAGAATATAATAATTTGATAGACCAAAATAATGATCAAAAGCCAAGGGAAATGTTATTAATGTTGTTCTAATCTGGTGTTTCAGTGGGACTGGGACTTCCTCCCACTCTGGGTTATATGCCCTCCTGTGAGGCTCCTGTGAGGCTTTTCTGAAACCAATCTCTTTCAAACTGAAACTGAATAAAGATCTGGTTGTTCTCTTCAGCTTGAAAACACATGCCAGAAGTCATTTAACATGTGAAGTATCCAAGCATGGAACAAACAGATTTGCCAATCCTGTTGCTTCAAGCTCTCTCTTCCTTCCTAAGCACCTCAGCTGATAAATAAATAAACAGAGAATTTAGGTATGGGAAATATACCAAAATGTGGCACCTAAAACAGTGTTTGGTTGGAGTTCAATATGGCCCAAAAGTGAAACTGCTTTTTACCATTTTGATGTTTTTCTTCCCTTTGCCTCAACAGGTGCCACTCAGCCATGGGAGGAAACCACACACAGCCCACATTCATCCTCTTGGGAATTGCAGGCAGCCTGGGTGTGCAGGCCCCTCTGTTTGGGCTGTTTCTCTTGATTTACCTTGTCACTCTGGTGGGGAACGTTGGGCTGATGGTCCTGGTTTGGGTTATTCCCAGGCTCCACACCCCCATGTACTTCTTCCTCAGCCATTTCTCGTTGGCTGATGTCTGCTATTCCAGCGTCGTCTCCCCCAGAATGCTCAGGGACCTGTTGTTGGGGCATAAAGCCATTTCCTGGGCTGGCTGTGTGGCACAGTTCCACATCTTTGCTTTCTTTGTCACGGCCGAGTGTCACCTCCTGGCCGTGATGGCCTATGACCGCCACGTTGCCATCTGCCACCCCTTGCTTTACGTCACCGTCATCTCCAGCCGCGTCTGCTGGCAGCTGGTGGCATGGTCCTACCTCATCGCCTTCCTCAGCGCCATCATCTACACCAGCTGCACATTTGGGGGCTCATTCTGTGGACCCTACCAGATCGACCACTTCTTCTGCGACGTCAGCCCCGTGCTGAAACTCGTGTGCTCCGACACCCACAGCAGTGAGATGGTTATCTTTGTCTTTGCCACCATCAATGGGGTGAGCACCAGCCTGGTCATTCTGCTCTCCTACATCTGCATCCTCCGCACAGTGCTGAGGATGAGCTCGGCACCGAGCAGGGCCAGAGCCTTCCACACCTGTGCCTCCCATCTCTTGTCTGTGTCCTTGTTCTATGGGACGTTGTTCTTCATGTACCTGCAGCCTGCATCCAGGCACAGCAGCCTGGACAAGGTGGCCTCTGTCTTCTACACCGTGGTCACCCCCATGCTCAACCCTTTCATCTACAGCCTGAGGAACAAGGAGGTGAAGGGAGCGCTGGGGAAGTGCAGGAGGAGGATGTTAAACCGCTGTCAGTGTAAAAGGGATGTATCAACTCATGGCATCAAAGAACCCTGAAATGGTTTGGGTTGGAAGGGATCTTAAAGCTCATCTACTCCAACCCACCATGGGCAGGGACACTTTCCACTAGTCCAGGTTGCTCCAAGTCTCATCCATCCTGCCATGGAACACTTCCAGGGATGGAGCATCCACAGCTTCTCTGAGCAATCTGAGCCAGTCCCTCAGCACCCTCACAGCCAAGAATTCCTTCCCAATATCCAATCTAAACCTTCTCTCAGTTTAAAGCCATTCCCCCTTAACCTGCCACTCTATGCCCTTGTAGTGGAAACCAAGTTTTCAACTCCAGCAAGAGATGATCCATTAAAATTATTGGATTTTCCCCTGCTCTTCACAATATTACATAGATTCTTCCACAGTTCCTCATGAAAGTCAATCACAGTATTTATCCCAGGGAAATAGACCCCACAGTCACATCTTCCTTGGAAGGAAACCAGGAGGAGTGGGAGCCTCACACTCCTCACACTCCAGCCTGGCAGAAGAAATCTCCCAGAATTATTTCAGGGTATTACTGCAACTATTCCTCTCTTTCTCCCAGGAAGCACAAATCACAGTTTTATTGATTTATAACTCATTTTTTACTGATAAACATGTCTTTTTCTTGCAAGATTATTGTCCTTATCCTCTACCTCCAATAAAATTCCTCACTTCTACCTGTGAGTTATCTATTAGTGTCGAGCGACTGGGGAGGGAGGGAGGGAGGGAGGGAGCACGTGGGGACAGTGAGGGTATTGTAAAATTTGATTGCTAAAAAAGTAAGATGAAAGGCTTAAAATGTGCAGTTTTTTCAGACTTAAAAGGAGGAAAAGCTGTTGAGAGTCAGAATCTTAAGATATACCTTGGAATATCACAAGGAATACAACATTCCATGTGCCAAAACACACCAGGAAAACCGAAAGTTGTATTTCATCTAAAGTTTAAGCATGTGTCTGGTTTCCATAGGTGAAAGACAAACACAAACACATGATATGGATAGCTGGGAGCTGTCTGGGTCTGAAAATGCCCCATAAAAGCCAAACCCCAACAGCTCTGCAAATTATGGCTCATTAAAGAAGGTGCAGGAACAGCCACAGCTCTGGGGACACACCAGAAATCCTTCAACTTCACCTGAAAGGCACTTAATGGAGAGAAAAATCTCTTAATTGCTGCTCATCTCAATGACCTTCAAAGGATATTTGTTGGGTTTGAGGTCAAATGGAGTGCAATTCTGCAACTTCCTTGAAACACTCAGCAAAATTCAGGTGGGCTGGGTAACCTCAGCATCAGGTCTCTGTGCTCTGGCAAACAGGAGCAGGACAGGAGATGCTGGTTTAGGTCTGGGGGGAAAGTGGCTTCCACCTGGGAAAGGTGGACCTGGATGAAAGAGGTGGAATTGATACAATTAAATGGTAAAGGGCTTAGCAAGACAGAGACTTTTGATATCAAAGTCAGCAAAATTCAGGTGGGCTGGGTAACCTCAGCATCAGGTCTCTGTGCTCTGGCAAACAGGAGCAGGACAGGAGATGCTGGTTTAGGTCTGGGGGGAAAGTGGCTTCCACCTGGGAAAGGTGGACCTGGATGAAAGAGGTGGAATTGATACAATTAAATGGTAAAGGGCTTAGCAAGACAGAGACTTTTGATATCAAAGTTGTGTTGAAAGGGACCTCAAAGCCCATCCAGTCCCCTGCCATGGCCACCTCCTGCCATGGCCATGGACACCTTCCACTAGCCCAGGTTGCTCCAAGCCCCATCCAACCTGATCTGGAACAATTCCAGGGATGGAGCATCCACAGCTTCTCTGGGCAACCTGTGCCAGTGCCTCAGCACCCTCACAGGGAGGAATTTCTTCCCAATATCCAATCTAAATGCACCCTCTGTCTGTTTAAGATTTTCAGGTTGTAATTAAGAACTAGGAAAGCCCACCAGGACGTCTGAGCTCCTAGGTCCCGCCTATTTCCATCACAAGTGATGCTGTTCCCATTCCTGGAGCAAGAAGTGATCCATGGGGACAAAACACCCTTCAAGGAATCATTAGCTTAACAAGATCTTCTGGGGTTTGCCAAGAAAGTTTCCGAATAATCATGACAGCTTCTCAGAGGGCTTATAAACAAGTTCCCTCATGCTTCTTAATGAGCTATGAGAGGCTAATTAGCAGGAGAATACAAGGAAGAAACTTTTTTCCTTGTTAAAGACAAAGTGAACTTCAGCTGCTTTGCTCAGCAGAGCCAGTCCAGGCCTTAGAGCCTATGAGCTGGAGGGTCAATGTATTGCTATGTGACTGCTGAAGGGACCTTAAAGCTCATCCACTGCCACCCCTTGCCATGGGCAGGGACACCTTCCACTAGCCCAGGTTGCTCAAGCCCCATCCAACCTGGCCTGGAACACTCCCAGGGATGGAGCAGCCACAGCCTCTCTAGGCAACCTGTGCCAGTGCCTCAGCACCCTCATAGGGAAGAATTCCTTCCCAATATCCTACCTAACCCTGCCCCCTGGCAGTGTCCTCGAGCTGTGCCAGGGGATGTTCAGGTGGTGGAGTCACCATCCCTGGAGGTGTTTCTACCCCACATTCACTCCTGGTCTGGTGTTAAAAATTTCTTTACTTTTATCAGGAAACACAAATGTGAGAGGGAAAACCAGTTGAATTCAGTGTTTGGCTCAAAATACATTTTAAAGTAGTCAAAGTGCATGTTTGAATTCATTTGTAATGGTTTTATTCTGGTTTAGTCACTGATTTGACAAATCACTTTGCAAATCAGAAGGTTTATTCTACCTCATGAAGAATTTAAGGGAGTTGTTACTCATCAGATCCAAAGAATGAGCTACAGCACTTAATTCTGACTTTAGAAATCAGTATGAATTGTAAAAACTGGATCAAAACAACAACAAAAACCACCAAAAAAACACCCCAAATGTTGGTTCAGATCAAAAAGAGACAAAGCACTGGTGAGAGATCAAGACATTTCATAAGTCATTTTCTTCAGGACAGTCAGAATAAATTAAAATAAAGCTCTAATTTCTTCCCTTCCTTTCTGGGAAACTCTGCAATTTGGGTTGAAACAGGAAATGTAGTGTAAGTCTTAAATCCCCTTTAAACATGGTGCAATCCAGGTCATTCCTGTGATGCCACTGAGTGGAGAGACAGTGGAAAGAGCTTTAAAGCTTTGGAGGCCCTGAAAATGTTGTGGTGTGGGGATGACCTGGGGGCAGAAAGCTACTGATAATGCAGTTTAAATAGGTAAATATACATCTATTTATATGCACACACATAAATATATGTTTGTGGCAGATAATCCTGGTAGTGCTGCCAAGCCCTGATTGATCAATGCCAGGTTAGATGGGGCTTGGAGCAACCTGGGCTAGTGGAAGGTGTCCCTGCCCATGGATCACCACTGGATGATCCATAAGGTCCCTTCCAACCCGAATCATGGATTCCATGCTGAATTCCTGGATTCCACCCAAGAGATCCTGAGCTGGGTGACAATTTGGTGCGAGAACAGGCTCCTACCTCAGGTCCTCCTGGAGCAACACATCAGCTCCTTGTAGCATTATTTCAACTAAAACTCACCTCTCTGCTCACATCTCAGGCCCTTTTTGCTTTATTATCAGAGTTTATCTCGACTCCAAGACCAAACTTTTCTGGGAGAAATAAGCCCCAAATTCTCCCAGTATTGATGTGGAAAGTAGGAAAGATTTACCCCTATGTAGACCATAATCCTTGACCAAAAAAACCTACAGTTTATAGTCTTCATTCACAGGAACATCAAGGGGTTTGTCACTGCCCTTCCCTGGAGATTTCCCTTGGGAACGGACAACTTTGGAAGCAGCTCCTTAAGGACGAGACCTGCACTGATAAATACACACAAGTAGTTAGATAAACTCCATTAGTTTCAGGAATTTAAATGGAAGATTGAGGATTAATTTCCCACTTCTTTCTCAAGAGAGAATTATATATATATACAC